ATGTGCCCCCTTCTTCAAACGGTGCAGAATTTACTATATAATGCAGTACTGATACTCACTACAAGAAATATCTCAAAGCAACAATTTACAGTAATATTATAGGAAATTAATATTTTTTGGGGGTCCTTGGAATCATCCTTATACCCCACTACCTCAGACCCCCTCTCCCAGACATAAACATGAATTGACCAGTTGACTTCTCCTGCTGTGGTAACTGTGATTAAAGACATGAAGTGAGTGAAAGTCTAGGCAGAGACACCTCAACAACTCTTTGACAGATTTCAGTCGTGTTTACATTATTGATCAGTTTCCAAGGTTCAACTTGATGGTCAATCTCAACAGTTCATACATGATGTGCACAGACTACTGAAGCCTCCGTCCCTTTGTGTAAATATATACCCACACATACAGATCATACTCCACGTACCTTATTTTTCAACATTGTTCCTATCAGTATTTTTTTTAATCAAAGCGTTTTAGATGGTACCTTCCAGTGGACTCACCACCTAATCAAAGCGTTTTAAGTGTTTCTGTTCCTGTTGCGAAATACTTTAATTATCTCATGTGCTACTTTGAAAACACTCAATTTCCCTGTGAACAGAACAAAAACGAGTTATCGAGTGCAGCAATGATTGGTATAATTCCGTAAACCGACCAGTGTTTTTCAGACTTATTACATGACAAATGTTTCATTTTCCCATTAGATGTAACTGGATCCCAATTTTGGAGGCTTACAACGGTGACATGCTGCTAATGAAACTGGTTTTAATATGTAAGATACAGAATAATCTTTTTACAGAATCACCAGAGATCTGTCTATTAAAACGGGACATTTGTATATCAGACCGGGATGCCCATATTTCACTGACCAGTTACTTCTTCAGGTCATTTCCTATCCGGCTGAAAAAGCTGGGTGTCAGCTTTCAAAGGTGAGACACATCTGTTCAGCTCCAGACTGGATGGATGAAAGTCAATGTGGTAATGTGTCTGGCACGTTTATTTTTAAGAGGCCTGCTGGAGGTGAAAAGTCCATTTCCGTTTCCACCCTTAACATATCGTCACGTTCCTCTACAGTGAAACCTGCGTCCGGTGTAAAGCCCATTTACACTCGTATTTAAGAGCAGGAAAGGAACGGGACTACATGGATCCACTGTATTTAACCAAGTCTGTGTGTTTAAGAGTCGGCATTAGCAGTCGCTGGAGCTGTAAACAGAGCGAGCTGAGGACGATACGCTACAGTAGATGCTACATATGCATACGGGCACTAAATGTACCACAAACAGTGAGGCACTTCCTGATATCAAACAGTGCAAAGAACAATTTATGAAAACCGAAGCAAAGCTGGGGTTACGTTAGCTAAGCCAGAATTTTGCCGAAAGCCAAAAATAAATAAATAAAAAAATCAATGACAACAGCAGTAATGCATCAGTAATGGAATTAAAATCTTGATATGAAAAATGACTCTGTGAGAGCGGGTTCTTCTCTCACGCAGCTTCAGGACCTTTAACATCTGCATATTCCACATGGACAGTTGAACCCTACAGGGAAATAATTAGCCAGACACAAACGGAGAGAGCAGCAGCAGCGCCACCTGTGCTCCAACACTATTTTCGAGAATGTACTGCACATTTTCAGGCGGTTCAGTTGTAGTCCAGTTACAAACACATCCAAGACAAATCTTAAATATCCACAAAGACGTTTGTCAAGGTCCAGGGGTCACAGGTGGTGGTCACGCACATGGACACCACATTAAGGTCAATTTACTGCAACCGGTCAAGACATAACTCAGCCATATTCAAAACAAAATGTCCCTTTTTTTTATCCAAAAGAACACAGAGTACCTTCTCAAATCAAATCAAATCCTATTTCCATTTTTGACCTCAGGGATTCGACCTGGGCGTCACCTGCTGGTAAAGTTAAAAAAAAAACAACACAACAACTGAAAAAGCAAACAAATGACAAAAGTACTGTCATTGCAGCGTTGCCATGGAGATGACAGCCTATTTACACATAATGGCCACAAACCACAACACACACACCGAGTCAAGGAAAGCAAAACAGCATCCATTTAAGGTCTTTATCTGGCGGCCTACATCCGGGCCCGCGAGCCTCGTATTTTTGACACCTAAAAGGAGGCTGGCCTTCGAAGGAAAAACAAAATGAGTGTTAAAAATCAGAGCTCATGATGCACACGTTCACCTCTCTGCCTTAAAGAACACGTGAATCTTGGACAAACCTGGACAACGATGCCAACGAGTCAACACATCCTTAGTATTTCAGGTGACATCTTCACATATTTAAATCCAATTCTCCTCTCCTCCAGGCTAACACCAAGCCTGGTGTTAACTATTAAGTGATGGATTATTATTTTTCTTTTTTGCTAATGCCTCGTCAAAAGTGGGGCACGGGGCTACTGAAGGGGATAAAAACGGATTGTTGCCTAACCTTACGAAAACCAGGTTAGAATTTCTGAATCACTTTATTCATCTGTTCCATTTTCTCAGTTAGGGAACACTTTGATCTGTGGGAACAATTTCAGAAGCGGAGGATGTGGCGGTAATGTGATTGCCTCTGTCGTCATGATTCAACAGATTACATATCTAATCTGTTTGCGTACGGAGAGAATATCATTTGCACAGATTACACAGATTAAGGAAGGGCCTCCCGCCTGGTGAAAGTGGGCCGTTTGACGGTTTAGATGATGTTCACACAGACCGACAGTCAGACGGATGAACAGAAGGCATAAAAAAAAAACCACAGATGACCTGCTGGTATTTTTAAACCAACAATTGTACAAAGTAGTAGAAAACAATTGCGCAAATGCAACAGGGAAACAAACAGCATTTGAGTTTTTCGTGCATGTGGGACATGCAGACTGTAGAGAATTAAAAAAAAAAATCAGAATATCACAGACGTGATTGCTAAAGAAGTGGGACGATAAATAGAAAGAAATTACAGCAGCTCTCCTGATATCCCCGGGGCTGTAAGGCTACTTGTTTTATGGGGGGAAATAAGAGGATTTTGTCAGGTGGAGATGTCGGCTAATGCTATTGTTCTCGACGGGAGCATAAAAACAGTAAAGTCGTCTTCCACACACCCGTTTGTTCCCCTCGTAGTGACGATGATATAGATATTGTTGGAAGAGTTAACGCAGCAGTTCCAGATAACAAGGAAAATATATGTATATGTTTCTATATATGTCAACAGGAAAGATTTTTTTTTATTTATTCCCAAAATATTGGATAAAAATAAACATTACATTTTCATAACTGAGTCTTTGGGGGGAAAAAAAAATTCCTTTTTGGATAATATAATATTTCTCAATTTGTTCTAAACGTATCTCCTGCGTCTTCTATCGCAACGCTCACTTACACTCTTACACATGTACTTTAACAGGCCTCTAAATGACTCCAAATGACCACCGAGGGGGGGTTTGGTTCATTGAGAGCCAGAAATTAAGTTAGAGAGAAGGTTAATGTTACATCCCCTCCTTCCTCCTGCTCAGACCGCTCCTCTCCTTTCCCCTTCTCTCAGATTTATAACCCCCTCCTTCTTTTCTTCACGAGGACACATGCCCCGTCTTCAATAGTTCGCCCATCAAGCTAACGACGATCTGGAAAGATGCCAAAATAAGTCAATAACATGAACGACAGATGCGACCATCGTCCAGAAAATGGACAAATAACCGGACACCAACGGTCAAACCATTGGTTTTACCAACACACCGATGAAGCAGAGGTGTGGAGTGTAACGGTTTGTTATAGGCTACCGGAGATGCTAAAGTGCGGCCTGGATGCCTCTTCAATCCGTTTTGTCAGTCATTTAAATTATTGTTATTTTGCATTTGAGGAAAATATAAAAGCCAAAAAAAAATCTTAGGTTAGGTCAGTGAAACTCCTCACTCATCCACCCTACAGCTTTAGCCTCGTTTTTTTTTTTTCCGAGCCTTAACGCGTTAACATCTTGTTGTTAAAGCAAAGTCCTCCACTATTAAGACTGCTTTTACACCAGGAGGCTAATTATGTATTTAACTGTGTAAAAATAGCAGCGTATTCTACCAATGTCAGCTGTTTTTTCCCCCCTTCTTCTTCCACAGCTGTAGATACTGTTGGTGTATAATGAAAACCAGTTGGGGTAAAGTTATCCATTATGGAAGAGGAGCAGACAGAGGAGGACGGAGATAGGGGAAGAGGAGGAGGAAAATGATGGTGTCAGAGGTGAAGAAGGAGGAGGTGATGGGGAACATGGTGAAAGGTCATGTTTTTATTCTCTTTTATTTCAGGCCGAGGCCAAAGAAACACAGGGCGGGCGGCGGATGCTGTGTATCTGCTGGGACAGGCAGCCGTCCATACAATTCTGTTGCATTGTGTGCTGTTCTATGGTACTGTATATATAGAGCTGTATTGTGTTCTCGTACTGTAGCAGGAAGAAATTATTATTATTGTCAGTGAGCGGGGGGGAGGAAAAAACTGGAACAAAAACACCGATGTGATGTGCAAACAACTTAGAATGAGTGGTTTAAGCAGAAGACACCGGCAGCTGCAGCAGGAGAACTGATTGCGCACCAAGTCTGTGCCATATTGATGCCGAGATAAGAGCAGGAGCCGCGGGCGTGTTCGACTTCTGAAGAAAAATTAAAAGAAGTTGCTGGGAGCGCAAAAAGATAATAGATAAGGAGAGGTCCGCTTAAGTCAGAGCTAATGGGAGACGAGTGATCATTTGTGCGTTTTGGCGATAAAGCAAAAGTGAAGCGTTTGTGTGACTTTGCAGAAATCCATCAATCTGGTGGTGTTTTAATCCGTGAAAAACGTAAAAAAAAAAAAAGGTAAAAATATTAAAATCAAACTTCAACGATCTGTTCCTGGATCTGTTCACCACTTTGATCCAGCTGAGCGGATCTTAGGAAAAGCGCACCAAAAAGAAACAAATCACGTCTTTTCGTTCATTTAAACTTTTTTTTCTTTTCTTTTCTATGTTTTTAAAATGAAATCTCCACTCACCCTCCGCAGGATCCACTGGCAGAGGAGCAGCGTGGTCCAAGCGAGCACCTGCATGACACCTTCCTTGATAGCGGACCACCCAGAAACCTACGCGTCTCCCCGGTTCAACATAAAAAGACACGGCGCGGAATCCAGGCAAATCCCAAGAGACGGGGCGACAAGTTTGGATCACCAAGTGGCCGAAAATGGAGAAGAAGGCTCGTGAAAGTTGTGCGACTTGCCCTTCGCTCAGAGTAGTTCTATTCAGCAGGTGAAACTTTAAGCGCCGGCTTCAGTTTCTCCGCTCCGCCTCGTGAGCTGTTTCATCCATGGTGTTTGGCTGCGCTCACGCTGGACGTCTGAGTTTGGAAGGAGGTGGAGGTGGAGGTAGGGGCGAAGAGAGAGACACACAGAGAGAGAGAGAGAGAGGCTCACGCTGCTGCTGCTGCAGATGATGATGATCTTCTCCTGTTTTAGGACAGTGACTGGTGGGTTTGGAGAACAGAGATTTTGTTCTCACCCTCTCGCCCGCCCTCCTTCACTTTCCCCACTCCCACTCTCTGTGCGCGCGTCATGGCGCGCGGAAGCTCTGGTTTATGGACAACCACGGTGACCACAACTACAGGCTGGGTGTTTGTTCCCCGGATTATGGTTAGATGACTGGGTTAGGAGAGGTCAAACACTCACTCTGTTGGTCTGCTGAATAAAAGCTTCTTTATATTGATGATTCATCATTAAAAGTATTTCGTAAACACACAACAGTCCAATGTGAGACATGCTAAATAAAAGTTAAATAAAATTCTCTGTAATTCTCCATTTAATTTCCCACGTACATTTTCAATGTACCTCTTAAGAGCAGCAGATATATCAAAAACGACTCTATCCAAGACAAAGCCCCATGTTTGTTTTAATTTGACATTTAATTCAACAAACCAAACTCTGTTCAAATTTGTCCTTTCAGTGTTTAAAAAAGAGAAAAACATCAGAAGGAGCTACAGAAATTTGTCCTTTCAGTGTTTAAAAAAGGGAAAAACATCAGAAGGAGCTACAGTAGATCTAAACTGTTGCCGAGCTTTGATAAAAAGAACAGTTTATTATTCAATTCGGTTTAGAAGTTGATGTTGAAACTTTTATTTAGGCCCGAAAATCATGAACACGGCTCTTATAGATCAAAATACGAAGACAAAACTCAGCTCTCTGACACACTGGACATGATGTCTGTCTGACCCCTTTTTGACTGACCCTATATTCACTGCAGGAGGAAAGTAATATACACACAAATCTAGAAATTAATCTCAAGTTTTTGAATATTCAAGTGTCCAAAGAATCACAACACTCACACTAATAAAGCATACAAAATAAAAAATAATAATCCATCCATCCATCCACGCCCAAGCGCCACTAAAAAATAATAATTTCAGGATTAAAGCAATGATGAATGTATAGTTTGTTTCTTACAAAAACACAAACTACTGACTAGTCATGACCTGAAAAGGCAGCTGAAGAGAGGAGGCATTCATCAGCACAAATAATTTTTTCTAGGTTCGAGTATATTCACTAATGGCCCAGTAGGTGGCGACAATGCAACTCAAGGGGTGTAGAGCTGCTGTTTAAACAAATTAAACAAACAAAACAGTGGACTATGTTTTATTTCTTTTTACCACTTCAAACTGAGAGCTTGTGACATTATTGGTGGAGGTGTACGGCACCGTCGGACCACAGCCAGACCAAGAACGCTTACCTTCCTTATCATTAACTCCACACTGATTCCACTAATGCAATGCCCCCCCTGTGGGGCAGAAGTTTTTTCACACACACCCCCTCCCCCGGATTGAAATACTATTGTAAAAAAAATATTTTTTCCCCCCTCCCCCGGATTGAAATACTATTGAGCCTCTCGTAAAAAAAAAAAAAAAATTATCTGTACAAATCACTGTATGTGTTGCTAACACCAGCATTTCGTACACAATCCCCTGATTATCAAATGTTATTAAATAGATTAATAAAGCCTGCTCTGCTGCCATCTAGTGACTGGACGTTGTTTATCGTTCCAGCGTGAATAAAGACAGTATACAGAAAGCCCTCTCTTGCGCTCCCCATGACACCTCAAGAGAGGTGCGCCCCACTATTTGAGAAGCTCTGCCCTAATGTGTGTAGATCAGTTACTGTAATATCTCACTGCAGACAATATGTGATGAAGTGGGAACTCCAACAAATAATCATTTGAAATATTCATGGTGCATAGATATATTAGGGCACACTGACCCCACAGCGCTCCCTGCTGACCAGGCCCAGCTGTCCGCGGCCCAAGTGTGTCATCTATAACATCAACTAATGTGCTGTGTTTTCACTGGCGGAGCAGCAGCTACAGCCGCAGCTCTGAGTGGCAGACATCACTCCTAAAAGGACGATATTTATATAATGACGTGGGTCTGTCTGGATGACTGACCGACCTGCTGGTCGACTGTTTGTTTTCCCCCAACGCCTCTCCGTACCTGTCTGTCTATCTGGTTCCCCATCTGTTTCCCCAGACTGTGGCTTAACGCGATACATAGGCAGAACATGTTCCGTACGCCAACTGTTTCTTCTCCTTCCCTCACCCACGAGAATTCAATTTCCGTCTGCACAAGCCTCGCTCCACGTTGTTCCCTCTTGGGCTAAATCGCCGCGCGAGATTTAATCTGTCCTGTGAATATAAACAACAGACTTTTGGCCCTCCGCCCCACGATAGAGATCTGAAGATCAAACACCAAAATTGCACCGGTTTCTTCTTCACTGGAGCCACGACAACGCTCACCTGTTCCCCTCTGAGAGAGACTTTTAGTTCCTGCCGACTCAGTGATGAGTCCGTCTGCAAAAGTGAGCATTCTGTTGATGTTCTCAGAGGCGGTGAAGTCGCGGGTCGTGAATGGAGATAAGTGGCCCACTTTGTGGTAATGACCCACTCTATATGTTGTACATTAACAATCTGCTACCACCCTTTGAAATGCAGATGCCGGGTAGTTCATCTGTTCATCCCGGCACCACAGTGATAGTGACACAGCACTGCCTCCATGTGAGACAACCAGTCACTACAAGGAGAGGAGACCTGAACATGACGGCCACTGAATTCTCATGGGGAGGGGATAAAAAATGATATGACGTGAGGATAAAATAGTTCAGGGTCAGCTCAAGTGTGATACACATTGTATATCACCAATATTTGCAGCCACTGTACTGCAGCTCAGGCTCAGAACTCACAAACTATTACTCCCTATTATTCCCTTCTGCCTTCAGTTACAAACCAGATTTTTCAAATTACTTATATCTTTTAAAAAATGCAACAAAACTTAAATTCTCTAATTTGGCAATGAACTCCAAACCTAAACTATCAGACTGTTACAAACCAGATTTTTCAAATTACTTTTTTTTTAAAAAAATGCAACATGAACTCCAAACCTAACCTATCAGACTAACGAAAAAAAAACTTTTTTTTTTCAACTTTCGGTACTTTTTTCCCCCATGCTTTCACTTCCATTTTGAGAAAAGCTGCTTAACAGTGTGTGTGTGTGTGTGTGTGTGTGTTGACCATAGTCTGATTCTCTTTATGATGCAGTGCACATTAAACACAGGAGACAGACTGAACTGTGGGCTGTAGATACTGATGAACACTCCTCAGCAGCTCCAGATTCACATTCCACCGTCCATCCACTTGTTGTTGCTCTAATAGAAATACACCTGATGATGATGTCATTTGCACACGTTGCAGGGAAGACTTTTTTCGTGTATAAATACCACCTCAATCCACAGCATGTGCTGTAGGTCCGACCAGCCTCCAACTGAAGTAAGTCTACGACTCACAAACTGACGGACCCAACTGTCAAATGGACTATAAAGCACAGTAGACTGATTGATACTGTCAAAGACAACGACTTGGCTAAGCAACACTCGGAACGTTCTAGAAGCGGTGGTCAAGACGCACAGTAATCGTAGTAAATCCAGCAACTCTACGAAACTAAATTTGTTGGGTTTTACTTTTACGTGTTTTCTTGACATGTTTTTATGTTAATAATTCCTTCATTGTGATTGGTCACTGATGAAAACAGTTCTGAAAACGCACACATCGACCTGCTGTTATTTGTCTTCCAGTAATATACAGAACATTACAAAATGTGGATTTATCTAAAACGATTACGGTAATCATGATTGAAACGAAATGAATGAAAAATGGTTCTTGTTTGACAACACTAATTGTGTTCAATCTTGATATAGTCTTAATATATTACTATAATGCTAATGCACCAATATACCAAGATTTATCACGCAGTTGGTGTAAAAGTACTTTGCAATAAAAAACACTGAATCCGAGTCTACAAACACACTCATCCTGACGTTTGTTAAATCTAAAATGACAGAAAAGTTTCACAGAAACGTGTGAATGATGTTCCTGCCAAAGTCGAACTGCTAAACGAAGCTCTGATTTTTTAAATCATTTTTCCGGTTTGTGTTTTTGTCTTTTCAGAAACAAATCAGAGTGGCACAGTTGTTGCTTCGTCATTAGCGTACTGCGTCCAGAGCCGGCACAGCAGGTCTCAAAGAATGCAACTATTTCCCGTTTCCATCCCGGCCCTCCGTCCAGTCCACACTCTGGGGTTTGTATGGCCACAGCACACTCTGTTCTCCTGTTTCCCCTAATTTTTGTGCCCTGCTCCTGGAGCCGCGACGCCGGTGTGAAAGCAATTTCTGATTCACATTGGAAGTGGCAGGTGAATTTCGTCCAGCTGCTCCCCTTCTCTGTGCCACTTAGCCGCCACGCTCCTGTTCCCGACTCTCCTTTAGGAACCACGTGGTGAAGCTGAACAAGCAGACGTGCCCTGAGCGACGGCCAAGCGCATGTAAGTTGGCATTTATCACGTTTACGTTGATGTTCCCCACAATTATCAAAAGAGTTTCACCAGTTTCCATATCAACACACTGAAAGTTGAAGATATAATAAACCCAAATAATTTTTTGTAAAGAATTCAGTAGGTGTAGCAGAGAAGATCAACGAGCAGAACAGCAGTCTGAGTGTGAGTGAGAAGGGAGGAAGGAACAAACAGTATTAACAGGAAAATGAGGAAAAAGAAGGAGACGGGATCCACAGGACAGTAGCACCAGGAAAACAAATAGAAAACTGGGCAAAACTGGACCGCCGTGCCGTTTTGTAAATTGTCTTCGTGGAGGCCTGTTTCCTTATCTTCGTTAGAAGTGTACTGGACAGTCCAATGTGATCTCATTTGCTTAATTGTATTTTGCACAGAGGTACATTTAGTAGAAGAGGGGCAGTATAAGGTATAAGGTTCAGTACAGGATGTTTTGATTAGATTAAAACAAGTAATAATTCAGGTTTAGAGGAAAAAAGTTGGAACGTTGTTTGGTCTTAATATTCACGGAAAGGGTTTAGAAAGAAAGCAGGACTGTACCTTAGATCAGTGTTTCTCAAACTGTGGTTCATGTACCACCAGTGGTACGTGAGCACTCTCTAGTGGTACGCGGAGGAAATTCATATTTTCAATAATTAAGTCTCACTGATTTGATTTTTCAGTTGATTTTTCTGGCCTCAACCACACAAGGTCTGCTTCCATTTGAATTCATATTCTTCAGAACAGTGTTTCACAAGGTATGGTTCATGTAGCACTAGTGGTACCTGGGCACTGTCTAGTGCGGGCGTGGCTAACCTTTGGACTCATGGGCCACAATTGTCCTAAAATTGAACAGAGGGCCGGGTCAGAAGCAGAAAG